GGGTGTGTGTGTGTGTGTGTGTGTGTGTGTGTGTGTGTAGGTGGATAAATCAAAGCATCTCTCTTCTGCTACTTCATGAAATATTCACAAGGACATTTGCTTCCAGTGTGAATGCAGAGCTCTGGATCTGAGGCTGGAGGTTCACTGGAGCCGTGCCGTCCAGTCGCTGATGCTCATGATGGCGCCGTTTTACACTTTCGTGCATTTAGCTGTGATGTTATTTCTGATTCTAGAGAAGCTGATAGCTAGAGCGTGTTTGTTAACACACTCAACATATGTAGTGCTGTGGAAACGGCGCCAGCGAGTGGAGTTAATGTTAGCGTGTTTGTGTGTGTGCGGGTTTGTGAATGTATGTTTATTTATCCACCTGATCCACACTCAATCTGCTTCACTGGCAGACGGCTTTATTGCTCAGAGTCCTCTGGGAATGCTGACCGCTTTAGAGAGAGATTGTCCTATTGTCTTTGTGTTTCAGAGGTAGAGAGAGAGAGAAAAAGAGAGAGCTGTTGAGTGAATGTGTCTCTCATGTGTCTCTGCGGTTCCACAGCTCTGTCTCATTACTACTCACATGCAGACTGCTGCATCTCACTCTCTCACTGCTTTTTATTGCATCCAACTGATGCATTTCATTCCCTAATTGCATTGCCTCGCCTCAGCTGTTGCATTTCACTGTCACTGCATTTGACTGCATTGCTCCACTAATGCATTTCACTCTCTTACTGCATTGCATTGCCTCAACTGTTGTATTTCACTCACTCACTGCATTTTACTGCATTTCACTGCCTCCACTTTTGCATTTCACTCCCTCACTGCATTGCATTGCCTCATATGTTGCATTTCACTCACTTGTTGCATTTTACTGCATTTCACTGCATCCACAGACTTGTTGCATTTCATCGCATTGCATTGCCTCCAATGATGCCTTTCACTCTCTCACTGCATTTTCATCGCTTCCAATATTGCATGTCTCTCTCTCTCACTGCATTTCACTGCATTTAATTGCCTCCATTGATGCATTCCACTGTCTCACTGCATTTGACTGCATTGCACTGCCTGCCTCCATGAATCCATTCCACTCTCTCACTGCATTTCACTGCGTATCATTGCCTCCACTGATGCATTTGACTTTCTCATTGCATTTCATTACCTCTACTGTTGCTTGTTTTTGTTGCATTTTACTCTCTCACTGCATCTACTGCTGCATCACACTGCCCCCTTTCACTCAACTCACTAGTTTCCGAATAGTGAATTAAATTTATGTAAAAAAAAAAAAATCTGAATACAGTAAAAGTAAAAATTAATGACTTATGAATTAATTACTAAACTAATTAAATAAATAGAACATAATTGTCACTCCCTGGGAAATTTTTGCAAAATTTACTGTAATAAATGACTTGCAGTTTATAGTGCGCAGACAAAAAGTTCATGTTGGCAACCGAGGTCTGAGAGCAACAGTACGAGGTAATAATTTTTTTGATGCATTTTTGTTCCATTTTTTATTTAAAATGCTTTTCATACTAGTTTATCAATAACAAATGGAACATTTGAATAGAATTTTATGATTTACTTTTTAGATATAATTTTTTTGTCATTTGTATTTAAATTTGTTATTATTTTATCATTTATTTTTCATAAAGTATTTACATTTATGCATGTTTTGGATATCTTATTTGCTTTTTTTTTTTTGCATTGCATTTTATTGCATTTATTTGTTTCCATCTAACATTTGTTTCCATCTCACATTTTCAATGCAATAAAACTATGTGCATTGCTGCCCGTCACTGCGTCCACTGTAGCATTTCACTGGCCTCGTCCCAAATGCTGT